GGAAATCACCCGGCGATCGTGTCTGGATGGGTTGGTGGGAATATCCTTTTTGATCGGCGGCCGCGCGACAAAGGTCAGCCGGCAACAGCGATGTCCGGGGCAACGGAACACGGCAAATTACACGCGATGCGTGGAGTGCACATGCACTGAGCGAAATGCTCCACATTTGGCAAACACACATAGGCGCCGGCCACACCGAAGTGAAGCAGACAGCAGCGCGGGTGCAACGGAGAAAATCGCCCTGTCGGCGCCAAGCTCCGAGCAGCCCCCCTAGCCGAAGCCCGAAGGGAGAACCGAAACTACAACGCTGAAGGCTGAACCACTCAGCGCGAAGTCCGTACCACCGCCGTACGCGGGGTCGGCAGAGACAGGGGCAGAGAACGGCAAGGACCTACAGAGCACTCACTCCACGATCCACACCGCTGCCCGGGGGGGGGGGCGGCGCGTCAGTCATCGTCTCCGAAACCAGTGACAGGCCAGGGAAGCAACGATGAGAGAGGGCACGCAGGCCCAAGTGCCGGCACACTGCCGCCTTGCGGATATCGGCCACGAATGTCGCCGAGGTACGCTGCAGCCGCGACCAGCTCATGGAGCGCTGGAGCGCAGTCAGGGCTGAATCTGACCACAGAGTGGGCAGAGGAACGGCAAGTACCTACAGAGCACTCACTCCACGGACCACACAGCTGCCCGGGGGGGGGCCGGTGTGTCGTTCATCGTATCCGAAACCAGTGACTGGCCTGGGCTGCAACGATGAGAGAGGACACGCTGGCCCAAGGGCCCGCACACTGCAACCTCGCAGGTAGCGGCCACGATTGTCGCCGAGATTCTGCCGCGACCAGCTCGTGGAGCGCTGGGGCGCAGCCAGGGCTGAACCTGACCACGAAGTGGAGGTGCTGGAACGCAGCCCGGGCTGAATCTGACCACGCAGTGGAGGGGGGGGGCAGCCAACAGCCGCAACGAACACATGCGTCGGTTAAAGGGGGGGGGCGCAGCCAACAGCCGCAATGTAACATGTCATGGAAGCAGCTCGCACAGAGCCGAGAAGGAGGGAGGGGTTGCGCGAGCTGCACACAGACCGCCGCCAAGCAGAGTGGTGCGCAGGGGGGGCCATTCCAGTCATAGGCCCCCGGCCAACCAAAGTGGCTGTCGAGAAAGACAGCAAAGGGCGCGGAGCGCGGGGGCGCGTCTGCGTCCGCCCCCAGCCCCAACGGAGCAGTCGGCCGCCGAGGAGGGCAGCTGTTGGCCCTGGGCCGGCGGGGCCTGCAGGCCCACCCCCACCTGCCGGGGGGGGTGGGGTGGCCAGGCAAGGTCCACTTATCTAGTGTGGACTGTCTAGCTATGCAGCGCCTCGGGTAAGATGTTCGGACACCCCCGCCCAAGCGGGAGTTGCCCGGGGCATTGCGGCCACGGCCGGGCGCTGCAAAGTGAAACCGCCCCCGGCGGGGAGAGAGCGGCGAGCGCCTGAGGGGGCGTCGCCGCCGCCGAGCTGGGGGAGCAGGGGGCGCTCCGACGGGCGGGCCCGTCCCTGTGAGCCATTGGCACTCTAGTCAAGTCAGCCCCACCATCGTGCGCGCTTGTCGGTGCATTGGTCGCCCCCCCTGGGGGAGGAACGTTTGCCTCTCGCTTTCCAATCAGTATCTGTCCACGGCGCGCCCTGATGGCTCCAGGAAACCCATTCCTGCCATCCCTGCCACGGGTTGGCGGAGCCAGATGCACCCGCCCATTGCTCCTGCGAGGCCGCCTCTGTCGCTCTCATGCCCTCTTTAGTCCATGGGGCGGGGCCGCTGCTGCTGTCGGGCCCGCGCTGCGCGTGGGGTCTGGGCTCGCGTTGCAGGAGCTTGGCATGCCTGTCCTTGACCGTTGGCCAATCGACGTTGAGCCCTAGGTCTCTGTCCATCCTGCATGCGTCAATACCCTGCGCTGCCCCGTGCCTGAAGGAATTCGCTGCACAGCTGCACGGTGTTCCGCTTGGGGTCATGCTTTTCAGTCCCGATGGTCCCCTGCCTCACGGCAGCCCTCTTCACCCATGCGACCCAGACCCCATTAGACGCTCCCCCCGGCGTCCTTTGCAGGCGTAGTATATTCTCCTGTATCGGTTCGTCCTTCGCAACGTCAGCGTCCTCGACCGGGCACATATACGGGGATGCCCCCCATGGGGTCGCTCGGATCGCCTCGGGGTGGCTGCGTTTCCCGCACGTCCCTCCAGGGTGCCTGGAGCATGCGTGGCCAGGCTGGGTCGCCTCTTGGGGACTTGGCGGCGCGGCGATCCCCATCCCCGGCGTCCTCCCACACAGGTCGCTGGCGGCCCCTGTCGCCGCTCGCGCGCCTGAGGGACCTGTCGTCCCTGGCGTCGTTGATGGCCCAAGCTGAGTTGTCTCCTCCTCGCGCGCCATCCGCCATGCCCCTGACTGCACGGGCAGCGTTCCTGGAAACGGCCTGCTCGTAAGGGGGCCAGGCCTCTGAGGTGGCCCTGGCGGGTGGTGCCGACCAGATCCTGAGGTGGTCGGGGATCTCTTCTTCCCCGTCGCCAGCCGTCGGGGTTGGACTGGGCTCCGAGCTTGATTCCTTGAGGGTGTCGGACTCACTTTTCTTGTCTGCATCCCCACCCCAGTCGATCCCTTCTAGTTCGCCATCGTTCTTGCACGTTTGCCCAGTAGGAGCCCTCCCCTCTGCCCGTGGGGCGCGCCCCCCGTCTGCCCCGGCGGCACGGGGGCGCGCTCTGGCAGCACGGGAGGAGGGGCCCTCCTGCACGCCTCCGCGGTTGTCCACTGAGGGGGGGGCCTCGGCTCCGACAGCCCTGTTGAGCCAGGTGGCTGCCGGTGACTCAGCCCCAGCTGGGACGCCTGTGGCTGCCTCGCGCGGGTCGCGGGTGGAAAGGAGGGCGATGGTCCCCCAGGCCAGCGCAGTGGAGTCAATCTCCGTGAGGAACGCCAGCAGAGCGCCGATCCGCTGTCGGAAGGGGCACTGACCTCTCTGTTCAGCAAGGACAGCAGCGTAGCGGTCCCATTCCCTCCAGTATTTCTCGCTCCTTCCCGTTAGGTGGGATACCACCCTGGCCGCCGCAGCCCGCTGCCCGTCGCATGGGATGCTTGGGGGGTGGCAGCTGGCTGGGATCGAGTCCCCGTAGATCATTCCCAGGAAGGGGAGCAGGCGCGCTGTGGGCCACGACGTCTCATCGGTTCT